GACAGCGGGGGCAGAACAGGCGGCTCCACTGAGACCCGCTGCTGAGGGGGCAGCGGGGGACAGGAGGGGTCTGTGCGCCCCGTCCCTGCCTCCGGGCGGAGCCGGGCGGCAGCGGCTGCGGCCACTTTGCGGTGCTGCGCTCTGACAGGTGCTGCCGTGGGTGTGAGTGTGGGGTTCGCCCGCCGGGCCTCCGCGGCCTGTCGCGGGCCGGGGTCTCCGGCCCAGCCCTGTCCAGCAGCCTGCTCGTGTGCCCCGGGTCTCGCTCCGGTGCGGCTGACTGCGTGCGGCCCCTCGGTCCGGAGCCTTCTCGCCAGAGGGCCAGAGCCGGCTCCAGCGGCCGCGGCCGGTCGGTCAGCAGCGCCCCCGCGTGCCGCTGAGGGCAGAGCCGGCGCGTCCTGCCACAGGCACGTCCTGGAGCCGGGCTGGTTTACTCCTGAAGCGCCCATCAGTCTCGGTGCGCTTGAGTCTTCACGCCCGGAGTCTCTGCCCGCGGGTGCGGCGTCTCCCTCCCAGGCTGAGGCCTTACTAGACGCCCCGCCGGCGCCTGGCGCGACTCCGGCCTCGGCCTCGCGCTTCTCGGCCCCTCGTGCGGCCCTTAAAGCCTCTCATGGCCTGGGGTGCGCGGCGAGGGCCGAGGAGCCGACCGACTGCCCGCCCCGCGCCCGGCCACCGACACTGCGTTATGAGCTCCGGCGGCTTCTGAGCCTAGGACCCCCGGTGCTTCCCACGGACAGGCCCGCCCGTGGCTGGCAGCTTCCTCTCTGGCCACGCCCTGTGGCTGCAGCTTCTCCCCGGCCTGCTCGCTGCGGAGGGCGGTGATTCTCGACCGCAGAGAGGTTTCGGTCTCTCCCCGCGGCGCGCCGCGGCAGGCTGGGGCGGGGGGGTCCCCGCTTGGCCCAGTCTATGGAAAGTTTGTACGGAGCGCGAGTTTTATCAAATACTTCAGGTTTTTCTTTGCTTTCATTTCTCACCAACCCCTCCCATCTTGAAAAAAAAAAAGAGAGAGAGAGAGAGAGCGGCCCGTGGCTTTTTCTTCTTCCCTTATTGAACCATAATTAATCGGCTCCTAAACATGAGTCAGTGTTGAACTCCCAGGGCGACCTCCTGATTTCGCTGCTTTCCAAGTACTGCTGGACTCAGTCCGCTAGTGTCTGCTTTCTATGCTCGCGAGGAGTAACAGCCTGAGGTGGCTTTTTTCCTGTAACTCATGTTCCAGGTTTTGCTATTGGGGTGCTGGCTTCCACATAAGGTAGGAAGTAATTTCTTCTCTTTTACTTTTCTGGAAGTTATTTGAGAGTGTGTATTATTTTTCCCTTAAATATCTGGTAGAATTTTTTTAGCCTGAACTTTTGTTTGAGATTAGAGTTGGCTTTTTCTTGGCTAAGATTTTCAAATACCTACACAATTTCCTTACTGCTTATAGGAGTAGATGTAATGTGGACCCAAGAATAACAACATAGTCTGTTTCTTCTTTGGTGAGCCTAGGTTTTCTTCTTTCAAAGAATGTATCCATCGCATTTACCTTGTCAAATTGTAGGTGTGATGCCACTAACTTTTCCCGTATCCCGGTCACATCCACCGTCCGGGTCACGTCCACCGTCCCGGTCACATCCACCGTCCCGGTCACGTCCTCCATCCGGGTCACGTCCACCGTCCAGGTCACGTCCACCGTCCCGGTCACGTCCACCATCCGGGTCACGTCCTCCATCCCGGTCACGTCCACCGTCCCGGTCACGTCCTCCGTCCCGATCACGCCCACCGTCCGGGTCACGTCCTCCGTCCCGGTCACGTCCACCGTCCGGGTCACGTCCTCCGTCCCGATCACGCCCACCGTCCGGGTCACGTCCTCCGTCCCGGTCACGTCCACCGTCCGGGTCACGTCCTCCGTCCCGGTCACGTCCACCGTCCGGGTCACGTCCTCCGTCCCGATCATGTCCACCGTCCCGTCCCGGTCACGTCCTCTGTCCCGATCACGTCCACCGTCTGGGTCACGTCCTCCGTCCCGATCACGTCCACCATCCCGGTTACGTCCTCCGTCCCGATCACGTCCACCATCCCGGTTATGTCCTCCGTCCCGGTCACGTCCACCATCCCGGTTACGTCCTCCATCCGGGTCACGTCCACCGTCCCGGTCACGTCCACCGTCCGGGTCACGTCCACCGTCCCGGTCACGTCCACCGTCTGGGTCACGTCCTCCGTCCGGGTCACGTCCACCATCCCGGTTATGTCCACCGTCCGGGTCACGTCCACCGTCCCGGTCACATCCACCGTCTGGGTCACGTCCTCCGTCCGGGTCACGTCCACCATCCCGGTTACGTCCACCGTCCGGGTCACGTCCACCGTCCTGGTTACGTCCTCCGTCCCGATCATGTCCACCGTCCCGGTCACATCCACCGTCCGGGTCACGTCCTCCGTCCCGGTCACGTCCACCGTCCCGGTCACGTCCACCGTCCCGGTCACGTCCACCGTCCCGGTCACGTCCACCGTCCTGGTCACGTCCACTGTCTGTCGTGTAAGCATTTTCATTCTCTCAACGGTCGTCCTCGCTGTCTTCTCCCCTTTTCCTTGCCCAGTCAAGCTAGAGGTTTCAAATTCTGCGGATCTTCCTGAGGAGGCAACTTTGCTTTCACTATGTCTGCCTCTGAGTCTCGTTTCCCATATTATTGGTGCCTGCTTCGGCCTTAGTGCCGACCCTTCCCGCTGCCCCTCTTACGGGAGTAGCTCCGCACTGGCTGCTCCTTTCCTCCCCCCTGCAAGCCCTTAAGTCTGTCCGTCTTCTCGAGTGTCGCTTTGGCTTCATCCTTCAGATTGTGAGGAGTGTGCGTTCGTGATTTAATTACGTGAATTCCATGTGATTCACTTAATTAAAGTCATTCCAAATTGTCCTGGCTACTCTTCCTTGACCGACAGGTTCTTTAGAGAAATGTTTTTAATTTTCAACTATCTGAGCATGTTCCAGACATCTTTTGTTCTTGGTTTCCAGTTTAATTCATTTATATTCAGAGGATGTGTTTTGTATGAATCCAGTTCTTTTCACAGTAATGGAGGTTTGTTTTTGTCCCCAGGATATGGCCTAGCTTGGTAAATGTTCCATGTACACTTGGAAAAAAACGTGTATTTTATTATTCTGTGGGGTGTTTCATCAATGCCACTGAGATTTATCAATGCCACTTTCTTCATTCAAACCCAACTTAGTTGGGTTTTCTGGGCCTTATCACTTAAAACAGCCAACAGTGAGAAATGCTGGCTGGGGGCCCCCTCGCCAGGCAAGCCGCGGGAGCCTTGCACTCCCCGCCCCGCTGTCCGTCCATGGCCTGGCTGGACAGTAACTGTTTCCCAAAGGCAGTCAGGGGTGCGCTCGCCAGGCAGGCCCACTAGCTGCTCACTACCGCCCGTCGGCCTCCGTGTGCGTCTGAAAGGGCCGTAGGTGACCCCGTGCCCGCAAGTCAGGGCGCAGCCGGCCGGGCCCTGTGCCCACTTTCTCTTGTAAGGAACATGGGCAGTTCTCCGCAGACGAAGAAACCTGTGAGCCGACTCACCGACCTCGGTGCAGAAGCTGGACTGTGCCAGCCAGATGGCCCGGGGTCACCTACAGCCCTTTCAAAGTTGAGCGACGATACAGTCTCTATCGACACCATCTCGCCTTTGATGTATATTTTTTATAATAGTTTGTTTTTACATCATTTTGTGCCTTTTTCCATCTCAGCTGTCATCCCCGTGGGCTTCACACCACCAGATCACCCATGTGCCATCACCACAGTCCAGTGCACTCCCTCCCCCCCATTTTTGATCCCATTCCCCACTCCACCCCTGTAAAATGTCTCTGGCATATAGCTGTTCATTATTCTTATTTTTCCCCCTGGTCCTTTATGCTCCTGCTATAAGTGAAACCATCTGGTGTTTTTCTTTTTCTTTCTGGCTTATTTCACCAAGCATGACCCAGCTCCATCCATGTTGCTGCAAATGGCATGAGTTTATCTTTTTGATTGCTGAGTAATATTCTATCGTGTATATGGGCCGCATCTATTTAATGCAACCACGTACTTTTGGGCATTTGGGTTGATTCCATGTCTTTCCTATGGTAAATAAAGCAGCGATAAACATGGGGGTGCAGTGGCCTTTGATAATTTTCATTGTCAAGTTTTTGCTTGAGCAGCATTGGCTCACAGCACCCTATATGTTTTCGGGTGCAGGTTTGCACAAGCCCGCACAAGCCCCCATTGTCCTCCGTGGCCGTTCAGTAACCCCCACCCCGTTCCTCGCCTCTCTACACCCGCCCCCCAGCAACCTCAGGCCCGCTGTTAGGTTTCAGTCGTTTGTTGGGTTCGGTTGTGCCTTTCCTTTATCTTCCACACGTAAGCGAAATCATCTGGAGTTTGTTTTTCTCCTCCTGACTTAATTTGATTAGAATAGTGATTGCTGTTCTGGAGGGAAGGAGAGCTCCGTGTTTTCCTCTCGGCCTGTCTACACGGCGGCACTGACTCCCTGCCTCTGAAAAACCGCGACTTCTCCCTGCTGTGAAGGAGAAACACCCGGCTGTTCACATCCGAATGCAAAACAGTGTCAGGCGCCGTGGGTGAACAGGGTGCCCATTCACCCTCGGCCACAGCCTCTGCCTGAGCGGCAGACCGCGGTGATGTGAAGATTCACAGGTGGCAGTCACGGGAGAAAGTGTCCAGCAAGTGACCCATCTGGGATGTCCACTCTCCTGGGCCACATGTCTCTCTGGGGGCAGGCGGAAGACGGCATCACTTGCCTTATGGCTTTGACGGGTCTCAGGCCACCTGCCTTCTGCTTTCGACTAAACCGGGGTCAGAATCGGTGCAGCGGTCGGGCCCGAGGGTCGCCCGCCGGACCGTGACAGCCTGTGCCTTGACTTCAGAGATTTGGGCTTATTGTCACTAGGCCTGGACCTATGAGAAGTGTCAGGAGGTCGCCTGTCACCGTACGCGAGAACAGTAATGACCCAGGTGCAGGCCTCCAGGCCTCGCATACTTTTGTCAAATCAGGTCCACAGTCTGCGTCGTTGCCACGGTGCTGAGGGGTCCAGCCTGCCCCGGGGTGACAGTGGCCGCCCGCAGCGGCCAGCACCCCTCGCTCCTCCGCCCGCTGTAGCGCATGGAGGGCCCGTGGGCGCCAGCCTAGGCGGGAAGCCACCAAAAGCCCCTCTCAGAGGACTGCCGGTTCCCCACTGCCCGCTCCTCAGAGGAGAGGGAGGTGGGCACTTTCCGGGCGCAGGGAAGACAGTGAGAGGAGGGGGACGGGTGCCGGAGGCCCCCGAGTCTGTGGCCCCTTCCTCGCGGGGGCCCGCGCTCCGGCCCCCTGTGCCTCCCCGCGGAGTGGCCTGTGGAGCCCCGCCGAGCTGGGCAGCTGCGCGGCCTCACGCAGGGGACAGAGCCCCGCTCCCCAGGGCCCCCTCCCTGCCTTCTCACCGTGCCCTGTGCCCACGAGCGAACCCAGCTCACCTCGCACGGCGATATTTCCAGCCCTGGGCGGCCTCCTACTCCCAGGACACCCCGAGCGGGGCTCTGGTTGCCAACCCGGGAGAAGGGCCCCTGCCTCGGCGCCAGCCGGGACTGTGAACGCCGGGGTGGGCCGCGGCCCGCTGGCACTTCAGCGCCGAGTCCGGCAGGCGGCGAGCTGGCCGCCAGCCCCGCAAGCTGTGCCGTCCGTCTCGGCAGTCCTGGGCCGATTTCACCCCCGCAGACTGGGGACAGGTGCGGGAGGCCTCGATTTCTTCCCTCCCTCGAGGCAGCATTTTGAGATCTGGGCTACTGGGTTTAGTTTCAGTGGCCGCTGGACTCCCGTCTCTCCACTCCTTGCCCACTCCAGGCTTTAACTGGTCTCTAGGTGATGTGAAGGGCAAGGTGCGGGGGGTGACGGGTGCGGGGGGGCGACGGGG